CGATTTCATCGAAATTCCTTTCATCACTGACGAAATGTCTTCTTCTCATCTGGATTAGATATATTGCAACAGTACGAGATTGATGTATTCGACATTAAATCGATCGAAGAATTATTAACATTGACTAATTATGAAGATCTGCCAATCGCTTCCCAACTCAAAATGGAACCGCGATTGTGAACCATTCACGCTGATTATAAAAACGCCAGAAACGCGTTTTTTGGTGCAAAATTTTCGGTTTCAGAGCGTGAAAACGGCGAAAACTTATCGATCGCGACTCGTTATTCTTTTTCAAGACTTACATTCTATGCAAAGTGCAATAAGTTACAAGTTGTGAAACTATCTTCTTTTCTTGTCTAAATGTCAACACTCAGTATAGATATTGCGAAAGTACAAAAGGTTGTGATCATCGTTAGAAAGAGAATAGGTGGGGGTACAAGTCTAGCTGAGAATGAAAATACTTCAAAAGTTTTCTAGATGGTTGCAAAGATTTTTGGAAAATCACTGTCTGATATCACTAATTAGATGTATTTTCATTTTCACTTGGAAATCCATTATCTCAAGAAAGAACATCCTTTTTGGCTAAAAATTTTAGAATATTCTATGAATTACTAGACCCATCTACGGACAAACTTTCAGGCCAAAATTGCGTAATTTGATTTTCCAATAAATACGCAAGGATTGAAAATTCAGTAAAACGATTATAATTTTTTAAGAAAAGGTCGAAAACGTCTAAAAATTCTAGTATATATATATAGTAGACATTGAGCTACAACATGGCTAAATTGAAATTGAAAATACACCTAATTTAAGGAATTAGACAATAATTTTTCAGAAAAATTTTCTGACCTTCTAGAAAAACTTTTGAAATATTGCTGTCATGACCTTCAGCCATGATACGTCATCTTTGGTATGTTTGTTTACTCTTTTGAGTCCGGATTCCTTGAGTCATGAGCACGGGATGCTTGACTCAGGAGCCTTGACTCACTTAGAACTATATATGCCCATGTATCTTTTCGAACGTGTGTGTGTCGTCCCTTCTTCATCATCTTGGTACTCCCTACTTAGTTTATATCCGGTTCAAATACATTTTCTGAATTTATAACAATGGTGCACTAGCCGGTCTACTGAAACCACTGATCAGTAGATCGATTATACAACCTGGGTCCTCATATTCCGACTTAACTGTTCCTACTACCACCATGGAAGCACACCAACATAGTAAAATCATTGTTGATTTCTTATTATGTTCTCCTTAAAGACTATAATCGGGTAGTGGCAGCCCGCATGTGTTTAGGATACACACTTTTACTGATTCCAAATTTATTAACATCATGGGTTCCTGACTCATACCAGCTCCATTCTCTCATGGATTAGTAGACTTACAGAAAAGTGAATGTGATAACTGATGATTTTTTCTCTTTTACTTTTATTATTTGTATCCGGTTTGTTCCCTTCTCTTTTGCTCCTCGTTCTGTTTTACTCTTCCTTTAATCACTATCTTCGTTCGCTACTGTGTAAACTGCTGCGTTGAGAGGGGGAGGTGTGATGGCCTTTAGCCATGATACGTCATCTTTGATATGTTTATTTACTCTTTTGAGTCAGGATTCCTTGAGTCATGAGCATGGGATGCTTGACTCAGAAGTCTTGACTGACATAGAACTATATATGCCAATGTATCTTTTCGAATGTGTGTGTGTCGTCTCTTCTTCATCATCTTGATACTCCCTACTTAGTTTATATTCGGTTTAAATACATTTCCTGGATTTATAACACATCGTTTACAAAACAAATCAATGATTGTAGTTTGGCTTAGTTTTCTCTGAAGAATAGTGCGAGAAAGTGAATGCAAAACCCACTGTGTATCGTATTTTAGAATTAATTGAGTTTCCATTTCAAAAAAAAATCTTAACAACAAAAAGAATCTATTGTCTGTACTTTCATCAGCTTCGTATCATACTGAATGCTTAACTAAATAGAAAGCACCTGCTAAAATTAGAATTTGTCATGCATTTTCAAACAAGTATGCAGTGTTGTATTTCTGTATTCAATATTACTTACGAGGGTGTGGGGTGTGGTTATTCTATTGTCCAACTACACTCACACCCACAATCTATGGTTTTTTTGTAGAAAGATAAGAATTCGTGATCGAATGATGTTTAGACACCCTATCAACAATGTTGAAATGAAAGTGAAAAATATTGAATTATATTTTCAGTTTATTGGAAATTATTTTCTTTATCGACATGCTCATCAAAATAAAATAATATGTATAGTACTAAAATAGTAAACGAAGCCAATTAATCGAAAATAACATTGATAAAATTGAAGACTTAATCTAAGACACTGTACCCAGATAAACAAGGATTAAATGTATGTTAATAAACTTTCATTTGCAAACGAATATTAGATAGGTTTTAACATATTTTCATTGCTATAAACTATAATAGAACAAGCTATTTCATTGCAATTAATAATAGCAATAGCAATAGCTATTTCATCTTAAATAAATCAATTGAACAAAATCAAAACAAAATTAAATCACTTATAATATAAAGAAATATTTCAATATGATAGTTTCTTAATTTCATTCATATCTTATAGACAACTGTTTATATGAAAATCCTTCATTTTAACATAATCTCTTTTATTTGACCAAAATCTCTCGACACGAAACGTTTTTAATAAATTCTTTCAAAATAGAGTTGTGAAAATATGCTTATTCTCACTTCTGAATCATCATCAATAATTAGAAACGACCAATCAATAGTTCATATTGCCAGATCATCATTATCAAATTTTCCAGCATTGTTTTTCTTTTATCAATTACAATAAATTCTAATAGAAATACCGATCAAACCATTTCTTCTTCATTGTCGAATGATGATAATAATAATTAATTATTTACATAAACATTGATTATTCTAACATTATCAACATCAGTCGAACCAAGTATAATAGTGATTTTATTGTATTGATATTAAATATCAAAGATCTTCACTCCGCATCAATATTATATATCGATATGGCTGTTAGAAATGAACAACCGAATGTAACCTTTCAACAACCATCTCTATCAATTTAAATTTGAACAGTAAAATCATGGTAGCTATATACATCTTTCAGTAACAAATAACAATACTCCATCAACGCTATTTAGATTTTGTTTTAATCTTGTTGGTGAATCATCTTTGCTACTTTGATTTCTCTATATGCAGTGGTCCTTCTTAAAGTTGGTGAATGTTACTTTTTCGTTCTGTAGTTTTTCTCTCTATATATATAAGTCATTCGAACTATTTTCGTTTATTTTCTCGTTGTTTCGTCCGCTTATTTTCTAATAACTGATGGAATACTTCGTACATGATACTAGATATATAACAACGCCCGTCGTCTATTCGAAGTCAGTACAAAAAAAAAGAAAATAATCATGGATGAATTGTTGAAGCAAACGATAATGAATGAATTATTAGAAAAAATTAAAGCTGTACAACATAATGTAAGCTAAGATTTATTAATTTTTCGTTATTGTTTTGTCAACGTAGGAAATTGGTCTTAACAAGTTGGAGTGTGAAGAAAGAAAAAAATATTTCAAAGCTCAGAATGATTTCACAGAAGCAAAGGAAAAAGATGTTAATCGAGAGGATTTAAAAATCTTTCAAGATCAAATGAACTTTCAAAAAGAATGTACAAATTAAGTTCTAAAGGCTGTTGAAACACTTGAAAATACGAAATATTCTGAAACAACACTAGCACCTGAAGCTGCTGTTCATGTTGGAGAAGTAGCACCAACTGAAGTTAAACCAAAGAAAAAGAAGAAACACAAAAAAAATAGCTGAATCAAAATTAAAATTTATTAAATATATTGCATCACAAAATTTGACGGAATGTGATTCACTTACACTTGATTGTACATGTCAAGGTTAAGATTGATTTTTTTTATTTAAAAAATTTCTTGATTATTTTTTTGTTGATTTAGGTCGTGATGATGATGATCTTGAATTAGTATGGTTACGAAACAATAAAGAAATTCCTAAAAATCCAGATTTTCGTCATGAACATGACAAAAATACATTCAAATTAATTGCTACTGCAGTGTAAATATTTGAAAAGATTTTTAAGAATAATTTATGAAATTAAATTTATATAGATTTCCTGGTGATTCAGGTGTATTTGCAGCTTTATTAAAAAGCAAATCAACAAGTAATGAACAACTTTCCTCTTGTTCAGTTATTATTCAAGGTAAAATAAAAATATATTTAAAATATTTCATAAATCAAAAATCTTTTTTTAAAGCTCGTGATAAAGAACCACTCGATCCTAGCTTTGTTCAATTTCCACAAAGTATTAGTTTAGAAAAAGGTGGAAAAGCTAAATTTAATTGTAAAATATCAGGATCAACACCAATGACAGGTAAAAAGAATATTTCTTTATAAATTATCTTTTCCTTTTTTTAATAGCCCAATGGAATCTTAATGGTAAACCACTTGATCATGAATCAAATCGATTTATATTAACAAATGAGCAAACTGAATTTTCACTTGAAATTCCTGTTGTTTTACCAACAGATCAAGGCCAATATTCTGTAATTATTTCAAATGATAAAGGACAGATTACAGCTGCATATAGTTTACATGTTGATCAATCATAAATATTCAATCAATCGAACAAATAAAGTGTTAGACTAATCTTCAGTTTGTTTGATTATATGATCTTGTCTTTTTCT